CTATCTGCACACTTGTCGTCCAATCATAGTTCCGTTATCGTCTCGCCCTGAAATTTTTAGCCGAGCACATGCATTTCAAAGGAGATCTGCACACTTGTCGTTATCGGCTAGTTATCGGCAAATCGTAGAAGATGCAGAAACGGATAAGTACGGCACTGTCGTTTGCTAATCGCTGTGAAAATTAGTGAAAAATTTAATATTTCCATTAAAACTGCATACAAATTAGTATTTTTGGCATAAAATTATCAAAAAGCGGATAATTGCATTAAAATTCAATAAATGTGAGCGTTTTAACTATAAAATATGACGAAAATGTAAAAAGTCTCTATGTGCATGCACAAAACACATTTCAAGAAAAGAGAAGAAGAGAGATTAATGAAAAATGATGTCTAGAATTGTTGCACTGTGTATAATTTAAAAGTTGCGGTTTTTGTAAATATTTCGCGAAAATATCAACCAGAAAAACAGAAAATATCTGCTCCAAGTGAATTTTTAGACGCCAAATGAATAGAAATATCACGACCGAGTGTGCGAAAGTGTAGTCGTCATGTAATCGTTGCATCATGATTGTGACGATGAAGCAACTATGATTTGGCGATCAATGTGCAGAAAGCCTAAGTATTGCGAATTCATTGATAAAACTATCCTCGAAACGAAAGCACTTGTTCTTCCTGATTATATTGTAACCTAAACTTACTTATTTTTAATAAAATTAGCTGGAGAAAGACTCTATAAAAAATGGCCAGTAATAGATTAAAATATGATCAACAATACGTTAAGACAAAGTCGTAATTGGGTTAAATTATTTCTAATTTGCATAATAATAACATCAAATTAACTTAACACAAGACATTACAAAAAACTGGGTCACTAATGGTTTAATGCATGATCAATAATGGGTTAATACGTAAAACATTTACTCTTAAAAAGTAGTTCAAGCGAGTCTAATTTATATATAGGGTTTTCTAATAAAAGAGAGAGTACAAACTAAATTTCATCGAAATCGGATGAAATTTAATATTTCCGCCCACAAGAGTGGAGGGCGTGGCAATTATTACATTTTTGCAAAATTTCATAATTCCATATTT